AATAATCTAGATGAGCAAAAAGACCTTGAACGATTACGCGTAGAGACCCGTGGGAAGGTAATGAGGCATTTGAAAGTTGGGAGAAAAACTCATGGTGATCGTAAACGAATTTATCGTTACTGTTTTGTTAATGCTAATTATTGGAATTGGGTATCACAATATGCATATCCCTAAAAAGGAAAACCGCAATAAAGTAAGATTTATAACGTGTACAATCCTAACTTGCCAAGACGTCTTCATTTTTCTAATTGAACCATGTCAGCCCAAGAAGCTGCAGACATTGAAACTCCATTATTTCAACAATCAATAATAGAAAATGAAATAAATACACAAGAACTTTTGGATGAGCCTGATAAGCACGTTGAGCATGGGTTTATTGAATTCGGGGATAAATTAATCGAGGCCCAGGTAGACACCGGTGAAGTTGCAAGCAGTTTTTCTTGGAAAAAGTTGTGGTCGTATACAGGTCCTGGTAAGCTCGTTTAAATCGCTATAACTTTGTATCTTTATAAGATGATTGAGCTAGTGATGATTGAACAGTACATGAGGTTTTGAAATTGCTAGATTGTTCACATGATTCTAAATTCGAATTATTCCTTAAATGATTCTCTAAATTTATTAATTTATCCTATTTGACAGGGTTTTTAATGTCTGTTGCTTATCTGGATCCCGGTAATTTGGAAGCAGATCTTCAATGCGGTGCGGCCGCTGGATATTCCATGGTATAATCATCAACTAAATTTTCTTTATTTTATATACGTTGTGATGCTTACCTCATATTCCATTCTTCATTAACTCTAGCTTTGGATTTTGCTATATGCACATATTGCGGGATTTCTCATACAAGTACTTTCTGTTAGACTAGGTGTTGTTACAGGAAAACACCTTGCACAGCTTATAAGCAATAACTATTCACGTTCTGTTTCGTTAATGTTTTGGACAATAATAGAACTTGCTATAATCGGCTCAGATATACAAGAAATTGTTGGTACGGCTATAGCACTCAAAATAATTTTCAGACTGCCCCTCTGGATAGGTACTTTATTGACTGCAATGGATACTCTTACCTTTATGTTGCTGCAAAATTATGGTGTGAGGAAACTGGAAGCATTCTTTATGATGTTAATTTCGGTGATGGCGGTCTGTTTTTGGATTGAGATGATTGAGAGTAAACCTGATGTCGGTGAAATATTTAAAGGAATAATAGTTCCTTTAGTGCCAAGGAGTGCGGTGGTAGAAGCTGTTGCGTTAATTGGTGCTGTGATTATGCCACATAATTTATACTTACATTCTGCTCTGGTGATGACGCGTAAAGTGAACCGTAATTCGAAAGCAAAAATTAAAGAAGCTAATTTTTACTTTGGAATTGAAAGTGCTTTGGCATTATTTTGTTCCTATCTCATAAATATGGCCATTGTCGTCGTGTTCGCTAGTGTATTTTATTCTGACAATAACGTAAAACCTTTACCTGGTTTGTATGATGCGGCTGATGTTTTAACACGGACGCTGGGTAGTGGTGCGAGATATTTATGGGCTGTGGGATTACTTGCCGCGGGCCAAAGCTCCACCATGACAGGAACCCTCGCTGGGCAATATGTTGTGGAAGGATTTTTTGGCAAAATATTATCAAATCCGTGGAAACGTGTCGCAGTCACCCGAGGAATCGCGATAATTCCCTCCATGTTAGTGGCTGTATTTGCGGTTAGTTTTTTTTTTTTTTTTTTGAATCTTCAGTTTTATGCTAAATTATAATTGACTTTTCTTTTCTTAACAGGTTAATCATTTCGATACAATGGGTGAACTTCTCAATGTCTTACAAAGCCTATGTTTACCCGCTACATTAATTCCAATTCTTAAGCTTACTAGTTCCAAAAACGTTATGGGAACTTTTCATATACATCACACGTTTAAATACATTACATGGATTCTTGCTTTTCTTCTCATATGTTTTAATCTTTTTATGTTCATAACACATTTGGAAGAATTACCTAATGTGTATATTGGCTACATATGTGGATTAATATACTTTGCATTTATATTATATCTTATTTTATTGCCGATTGGAGAAGAGAAAACCGCTGATATCGACGATGCCAACGAATATCAAGTAATAAACAATATAGGTGATTCGTAATTAAAAAACGTAATTAACACTAGATAATTCCTAAATTCATCACTCTTTATAACATTTCATTAGTATTTATAGGAAAAAAAACAATTCATTAGATAAATGTAAATAAAAAAAACCGCAATTAATAAATGATTATTAGATTTTGGTTTCAAATTATGCATTATAAAAATTATTGTCAAACAACTTAATAAAATACAAATTTCCAATAGATTAATGCATATATATGTGTATATATATTTTTTAATTAGAACAACTCCAATTATAAATTTACATTCAATATACTACCTGTATATAAATAAAATTATGATATAATATACATATCACATCACACACTATAAAGCTACATGTTGCTGTTAGAAAAAAGATATTGATAAATTTAAAATGGCTACAAAAATAGACCTGGCCTATAATGTATACACAAAAAAAAAATTATTTATTAGTAAATCATAATGCTTGCTGTTTTTTCTTCGCATATGTAGTAAGATCCCTAAAAGGGAATTATTAATAGATTAATAAATAAAATTCAAATAAGGCGAAATCAATTACAAAGAATGATATACATTTCTCCGTACGTGATTATGTTAGTCCAATGTACACTCACAAATGTCATGCAACATTTTAAATTTTCCGGATCTGGTGCAGGTTTATCAGTTATTGTTATTGACTGTGAAAGTCTTCTCAATGATTGAAAAAATGAGTTATTTGAACCCGCTCTTTGACCCCGGACTGCTGATTTGCCATTTTGATTATTTGTAGCTTTATTTTCTGGCCAATTATTATCAAGTCCTAGGCCAGGAAATGCACTGTTTCTAGATGAAGGTGGAGATGTACTATCTAAGAAATCATCATCCAAAGATGATGCCGTGATAGCCACCTGTCGTTAATAAATATTAAATTAGTTATGATCATGCATCTCTAAATTTTCTTGTGTTTAAATTTAACAGCTGAGCTATATATACAGTGTTTAAAATTCGATTTTGTTTCAATATGCGGAAAAGTTTAATAATTTTTGTAAATAATAAAAATTCAAAAAAAATAGATGTGTGACATATATGACACATAATAAAATCCGCAGATTCAAAGAAAATTTCACTTGCGGAAATAATTTTCAATCTGCGCACCGCAGATTCCGCATATAGATTTTAAACACTGTATATATAACAAGCTCAAGAAAAATAAAAATAAAATAATAATGATAACACAGACCTGAGCATGTCCCTTCCCACCTGGACCTCGCATCATGATATATTCCGTAGGTGGTGTTTGAGGACCCATTTTGAACCTTCTATTTTGCTTGTTTGCTGTTTTCTGCTTATAAATGTCTAGCAAAGCAGTATAAGAAGCTGCACCTTGAAACAAGGTTATTTTTGTATCATTATGCTGTGGAAATGGTTCATTTGTCATAGACCTTCGATGTCGATTGCGCCTAATATTAGTAGTTCCATCGTAATAATCATCATCACTATCATTATCTCTATCGCTAAGATCATCATCTTCGTCTGATTTATTTGGTATTGTCACAGCTAATTCGACACACAAATATTCCCCCTCACTAACAATTAAATGTTCAAACATTTCCTCATAATCATCAATTACATAATAAATAATTGGGTAGGAGCATTCCATGGATGTTTCCTTAATATCCATTCTTGATTTAGTTGGAAGTGCATAAACGCGTTTGGATACATGCTTTCTTGAGCATGTCATACTTGTTTTTTGATTAGGTCCATCTGCATTATCAGCTGGTGTACGGGTGCATACAGCAACCGTTAACTTACAAGGTAACTAATACATACAGAACGTAAAAATAAATTTTGGTAATTGACGACAGTTAAAAGAACCATATTTATAAAAATTCACACCTGAACAATCAAATTGAGAAAGAACGTTTCTTTCCATAAAACTGTATCATCAAGACTTGGCATTACACGTGGTGTCGGCTTTCTTTTAACAAACACTGGATCAAGATCTTCATTTTCAGGATTTGTCTGCCTAACAAAGAACAGTAAATCATCGTTTTTGCTATCACTGCTATCAAGAAAATATTCTATGAAGAGCTCTAGCCATCTTGATACATTTAATCAATAAAGGATCAAAAGAGCCAAAGTTAAAAGCATTTTCAGCAACCATACCCTTGTACATAAAAAATAGGCTCTATATCACACAAACCTTGGATCCCCGGCATCCAGATCTTGATCATCTCTTTGTTGAAACGTGGCATATAGCTCAGCTTGCGAGCTGTCGTTTCTCGAAACTCGAGGTTGATGTGAGGTCGAAACAGAGTTTATAGGCCCATGAAGGTTTTCAACAATGAGACGATCGAGAATAAGTTGGAGGTGAGCCATGGCTACCAATCTTATGACAAATGGTTGTCAGGGGCAAAATAAGGAAACATAGAGACACGAGACTTGCTAATATAATATAGATCTTTGCATATCGATATATAATATGTAAATCCTAACAATACCGATACGTACTCGATGTTTTAAGCGTTATAGATCTTGTTTAATATCGTTATTACAAAACACGTGATTTTAATTTTGCAGAATTTTATTTCTCACATTTTCAAAATTTATTAATATCAGCAAGCTAATTGCCATATACACAGTGTACAAAACGCAAGCATAATCAACATTAATAGGATTTATCATTACTAGCACTGCTTTGTTCCTTTCTAAGTCTAGGCTGATTTACCAACGAGTGCGACTACTAACTCCAGAATTATATCCACGTCCACCATTACCATTATTATTGTATCTTGAACGGCCTATAGGTTTATAAATTGAAGATATAATTCCGTGTAAAATTTCATATTATATAAATGTGGAGAACGATGCTGAAATCAGATTATACCTATTTTAACTATTTTAGTATTTTAAAATTTTTCGGTGTGCATTTTTTTTAAGAATTTAAGATTATGTTGATGATAAAAGAGCATGAGTTTTAATAGGTTTAATGTGCCTAAATTAGGGCCCCTAAATTTCAGCACCACCCCTAACATCCAACTAATGTTTTGACAAGTTACCTGCAGGAGTACTAGCTGAAGCGATCTTCATAAACTCTAAAAGTTTTGGATCAACCTCCTGATTAGCTTCACGCAATATGTTCACCAAATCTTTAGCCTGTTTAGCATTATCCATTGTGAAAAACGTTATAGCAGAGCCCTTAGCACCACCACGCCCTGTTCTCCCAATACGATGAACATAATCCTGAATGAAAAAAAAATTACATTAACTAAAAACTGTAGACGATATATATACAACCTATAGAACATAACCTTAGTTACCTCAACATTAGTCGGAAAGTCATAATTAATAACGAGCTTAACATCCTTAACATCTGGAGTCCAAAAAATGTTTGTGAGCAAATCAATCAAATCACATATGCCGGCCAGATTGCCATGAGTACTTATCCAAAGTCATATGATCGTGATGCACACAACGGGCAATTTAAGTTATGGCAGATAATGTGCACCATTAAAAAAACGACCAGACAATCAGACAAGAAACATAAAAACAAAAAAAAAAATATAAAATAAAATAAAAAATAAAAAAAAGGATATGTAAGTCCCAATGCCAAATCGTTGAGCAGCGGCAAGCAAACAAAGTATCAAGATGACAGCACGATATGACGACATCCATGAAGATTCTACTAGAGCTGGAAACACCTCAAAACCGCCTGAGCTAGACTAGGTCGCCATAAGTCTTCATCAGCACGATCATTTCTTCTAGCAATCTGACTTATGGCAGGCCATCGAAAGATTACGTTATGAAACGTAACAACTTTGAACCGGTCAGAGCTCAATCCAAATATCAAACCATAGACAAGATCCTAGTGGCACCGCCAGTCATATGAAATATTTTTTCGCGTATTATTATATATTTCTTTTTTCTTTTCTTTTTTTTTTTGCGTTCATTTTCTCTTTTTTTTTTTTTTTTTTTTTTTTTTTTTTTTTTTTTTTTTTTTTGTCTTTTTTTTTTTTTTTTTTTTTTTTTTTTTTTTTTTTTTTTTTTTTTTTTTTTTTTTTTTTTTTTTTTTTTTT